GATATCACATAACCAAGCGGCTCACTTCCCTACTGCCCACAAATGACCACCTGGGGCACGAGAAGAGTAAGAGCGGAGGACGTGAAAACGGGGCTTCCAYGGCGGAGCCAGGAGAGGCTGGAGTCCAGCAGGGCTACACGGGGGCCCTGCCCTGTAAACCCAGCACACAAAGAGATGCCAACTGGGAAGCGCACCCCTAGTGGGTGACTAGGACGAACGTGGCTCTCAGAACCTCGGGCAGGCCTTGCGAGGCGGCAGTGCTAACTGCATAGCGGTCGCCGTCCCGGCACAGTCCCACGCCAACGCAGTGCAGAGCAGCCGCGGCACTGAACACCAAGGCCTCGGTAAGGGGTACGGTGCCTCCTGAGGAGACCACACACCGCAGGCACTCTCATCAGGATCGCTAGTGATGAAGAGCAGCAAGGAGGAGACTGTGTCACCTGTCGGCTCACACCCAGGATGTTCAAGAGGACAACAGGCTGCAGAGTCCAGCCTGAGCCTGCCAGGAAGACCAGCAACCATCAGCGCTCTTGAGCTGCAGGCTGGACCCTGGATGAGCATTAGACAGCATCCGAATGCGTCCCACAGAACGCAGAGTGTGGGGGGGCCACTCGAGGAGAGCCGAGCGGTGGGCGCAGGAGAGTCCTGACTGGCCAGCCCAAGTGCAGTGAAAAGCTCTTCCACAGCAAGGTTCCGTTCTCTGCAGAACTTCCCCAGGCCCTGCAGGGCCACCTCCAGGAGCTGTCCACACATCAGTCCTGGGCCCAGTGAGGATGGTGGTGCTTGGGACCGGGTCTGATGGGGGCAGAGCTGCACTCACTCCATCTGTGTGAAGAAAGGCACCGTGGTCCTCTGCTACTAGCCAACCTCCTCACTTGCCTCCAACAGCAGAGAGGGACACCTTGCGCAGACCCAACCCTAGCTGCCCAGCTGTCTCCTGTGGATGTGAGGGGACAGCCCCAGGAACTCCCTATGGAAGCACAAGTGACGAGGGCTCGGAAGACCCCTCAGGGAGGGTGGCTTGCCCTCCCCCCGGCTTTCCTCTGTGGCTTACAGACCAACACTTCACCCCAAGAAAGGCTGCAGGAAGGCTCTCGACTCTCTTCCCCTCCAGCCCCTCCACACACTCCTCTGGTGCAGGCGGCAGTAGCACCTTTGGATTCTTGGACCCAGCTACAATGAGGGCAGCTGGCAGATTTTTACACATTCCCAGCAATATCAAGAGTAGGACAGTTTTAYGGGTGAAACAGCCCAAATGTCCATGTATACCCCATTAATAATGTATAGAGATTAAAGCTCACACGCCCCATGTGGCGGCCATTCCTCACCAGGTAATCCAGGGCCAGTGCCAACTTTATTCCCTTTTCTACCCTCCTACCTGGGGGACCAGGTGAGTCAAGGAGGTCTAGAAGAAAGCCTACATTCACCTTCTCACAAAGGAGGCAGTTGGGGCCAGCACTGGCTTCCCCACTCCTTCCCACCACACACAGATGAAATGCCTGGAGCCGAGGTGGGCAGGGGGTAGCAAAGGGGTCAGAGCATCAAATGGAGAAGGATGTGGAGCAGAAGGTGCTACAGTCGGGTCCACGAGGCACTGCTGAACAAGTCACTCGTGTGCCTCAGAGATCCTATTAGTGAGAGAGGCAAACTGTTGTTGAAAAACCAATAGTGTGTTTTTCACTGCTTACAGCTGACGGCTGTTCCAAGGCAAATGCTTGGGCCTGAAGGAGTCTGCTATCACTCCTTTCTAGGCTGGAACTTGAGGATGTGCCCTGGAAGAATAAAGGAGAGCACCAGAAAGAGGAAGTCATGTGTCCAGAGCACAGTGGATGTATCCAGGAGAGCAGGACAGCAGCGAGGGCAGGCCGCCGTGCGTGAACAGCCATTGGTGGTGGTGGCCACAGGGACCTTGAGGAAGGCATGTTTCAAGATTTGATGCTACCCTTGAAAAGCTGGAGACGCAGGATGTGTTAAAGATCTGTAATTCTGGAGAGTCCATCCCCAGGAACACGACTCCTATAAAACTGGGAATTGCAGCACCTTGTCCAGCCACTCACTCCACAGACGTCTGCGTGGACACGAGCAGACACCAGTTCCCAAGCACCAGGCACAGAGGGTTTGATGACAGCCAGAGAACAGAAAGTGATTACTAAAGAAAGAGCACGGAAGACGAGAGCTGGAAAGATGAGGCAAAGGAAAGCAAGAGGCCTGGAAAGTAAAAGGCACGAGCTACTGCTAATGCAAACAGGAGGAAGAGTTGAGCACTCGGAGCCCTCAGAGCCCAAATGCAGCGCTGTCCTGGGCGGCAGGGGAAACAGGAATATGGAGACTGATGACACACGAAGTATGCTTTTGCTCGAGTCTTCACTACCGGAATCCAGCCCCATCTCTCCAGTGCTCAGAGGCAAGTCCCTGGTGGCCCCTGAGTCGGTGTGTCACGGCAGATGCCCGTGGTAGCCTAAAACAGGTGATGAGGAACAGCAGTGTGCTGTGCTACCTCAGCCATGGGGAGAAGGGCTGGCAGTGGCGCCCTGTAGCAACAGAGCCCAGCCAGAGTGATGGGGCCAGGCTCTGGGGCTAGGGCCTACTTTTCCATTATAAATAAACCTTCTGCACCATTTGATTTGTTTTAAACCATGGCATATACTAATTTGGTAAAAATGCTTACTTACAAAAGATTATTGAAAAGCAAAGAGACTTGAAGATTTTAATTTGTAAATGACAAAATAATATGACACATGATGAAAAATATAAGGAAGATTCCTGAGTGACAGGTAGGAACTTTCTGTGTTGAAGTCGCAGCTGTGTGCAGCTAGGCCCGGTGTGCTTCATGCCAGTGTTCCTGCAGGGAGGGGCATCCGGCACGGCCACCCACAGTCCCGGGACAAGCATGGTGCCCCCAGCAGGACAGAGGCTAGAAATCAGCCCTGAAGACTGACGCCACTCTTATTTGGGTGTGTGCTAATTTATTTCTCAGAGGCTTTCTGGTCCAACTAACCTTTTTCTTGCATTATATTAACCAGTTTTTTTTCCTCCTCATCCCCTTTTATGCACAGGTAGATTTCCCCATGCAATCTGGGCTGCCACAAAGACAGAAAGCACAGGAAGTGTGTCTCTCTCATCCTGGTACAAACCAAGAGAACAGCAGCAAGACTCTGGGTTTCTACACACTGACACAAACCACTCGCCAATTTCGCTCAGGTCACATGTTATACAACAAAAAGTATTAAAATATATTGTAAATTGACAAAGAAATCGGCTAGCTGCAGAGGATAAGAATGTCCCTCACCAGCCATGTGGGATCGCTGTTTCTACAGCAGATGGTAAAAGGACTAAAACAACACTATGATGTTAGCTGGGAGCCAGATTCATCACCTCAATCTCCACTGTTTCTGAAGAGACAAACTGAACTATGGCCATTACCGGCAAGTGTGACAGAGACACTCAGACTGACCCACACTGTGGTCACACAAAGAGCAAAGTCAGAAGGTAGAGCTAACTGTAAGACTCGAAGCCCAGCATTGCTGCCTTGCCCTTGCCACCCCAGTGGACCTGTTATTCCTTTTGATCTACTTCATGAAGGATGAGGCGACTAAATAAAACTTTCCGAAAAAGACACATGCAAACCTTTTTGCTGCACGCAATGAGGTGAATAGCATCTTAGGCTGATTAATCCTGGCAACATATAGGACACACACCGACACCCCACGTGCTGCAAGCAGAGTTTTGCTGGGCCAAGCCAGCAAGGTGCGCCTTCTGCAGGACGGGGTAGGGTCTGCGCTCCACCGCTCAATCAGCTGCCCTTCCCTCAGCCACTCCGCCACTCAGACATGGAATGCAGAAATCAGCCAGGATTCTTTGGCATATTTATTGACATATTACAAATGCAAAAAAAAAAAAAAATCGTTTTGCTATGTTTATTACTTGATGTGAGCAGATGCACATGGCCTCTTAGTGCTTTGGGTGTTTCTGTATCACCCACCCCTGGGTAAACACAGACAAGATGACTGAGAATAGGGTAAAAATTTGGTGAAAGGAAACTTGATCTTTCCCTTCTCTTTTTACAGAATGCAAAACAAAGAAGCCAGCAAACAAACCTGTGGCTCCCGGTTCAATTTTCAAGGATAAAGGGCATTATATTTATCAGTCACTCCTAAGCAATGTTCTGCCTGAGGACTTCATTTACACACATAAAATATTAAACTGCAGACATGTTAACTTAGAGTTCTACCAAATAGAATTTCAAATTTTGTTGCTGAATCTCTCAGCATTATCCTCTGATGAAATGTGAAAAACATAACAATTCGTTAAAATTGAATGGACCCAAAAAGTCTTGAGGAAACATACCAAAGGCTGTTTTTTGTTCCTGGATGGAGAATTTCCTGCACTGCAACCAATCAGAATTCGTGACGCCCCGGGGGCTGAGGGCTATTTTATTCCGACACTCCTGCTTGGGTAATGGGATAGAAGCCTCTTAATTGAAACAGCCTCTTCGGCTTCTCTTTAGAATCCACCATTTAATTCAAGTGTCAAATATTAATTAAAACAATCAGAACAAATATCACTCCATTAGCCCAGCACCACACAGGCTCTCCAGCCCCTCCATAGGAGCTACCAGTGGAAGCTATTTGGGTTTCAACCATTTAGCTTGGTGGGTTTGGTTTAAAGGGAAAATAAGTTGGACAATAACAAAGAGAGCGCAGCAATAAGAATGAAACTGAAGAGACGGGTCCATTTCTCCCAAATCAGAAGCATCTGTACCATCTTGATGGTATCTTAGAGGTGAAGACTGCTACAGCACAAATGGGCTCTATTAATGTTATTGCTTAATTACTGCTTCAATTAGAAATGGGGCCAAGTAGAAAGAAAGATAGGCCCATCCACATGTGCCACCCACAGCCCCAGTTCTGGAGCCCTCAGCTCTAGAACGCCACCTGATTCAAAGATGCCCAACATTCTCAGCTTCCCACCAGCCACACCCTGGGCGGGAGAGCCCTCACCTCCAGCTCCTGCTCCCTCTGCAGAGCAAACTGCTTGAAGGACTTGACGATCAGGCCAGCGTTGGAGCAGTCATAGACAAAAATAGACGGGCTGCCCATCCAGGTTTGCAGGTCGTATATAGACAGAGGGATATACTGAGTGTAGTTCTGAAAAACAAAGAAAGAGCACTGGTTAGATGTGCGTCCCCAGCTCTCGGGCTGCTGCCAGCTCCTGTGCGACAGAGAAGGCACAACAGGCTGCGCCAGCTGGTGGGCAGACTTTCCCCAGTTACCGTTCATACCAAACTACAGGTGACAGCAGACCAGACTCCTCCAGACTCACAAAGGCACTGACTCCAGCAGTGCCAAGGGCTGAGCAGCTGTCCACATCTGCAACCCTACTGCTGGCTCTGTAGGTCCCTGCCCTTAAGAGATGTGCTCATGCCCGCCACGTCCCTCCATGTGTCCCCCAGGCATCACTCAATGTGCAGGATGTGTGTGTGTGCCGCCATGCACCACGCTGCAGCTGGCCCTTTCTCTCTGCAGCTGCCCTCTGCTCCCGTCACATACACCTCCGGTGTGAAAAGGGAAGTCTGAGGAGCTGTATGATTTCACTGAGGCCCAAAAGCATTTCAGCCTCTTGGTGACTTCCTCAAAGGGACACAGTGGGTTTGGCCCTGCACTTTCACTCCCAAATCACAGAAGTGATAACCTATGAACACTAATTGGCTAAGTGAGACCCTGTTGCCAGACACTGCAGTGTCCCCTGGAGAGGTCTGTGACACTGTTCACACAGAGGGGAACGCCTCATCTCACTGAAGAAGCAGGACGTGCACCTTAGTGGCATCGTAGGGCAGTGCTTCTCGCTGAGTGCCTTCACTTGCCTGCCTTTCTTGGACATCAATAGCATCTGTGACAAAGCTTTGGCAGAAATAAAATTCTACACACTTAAAGGTGAGTTTTCTTCCCAGGAGCTGAGCATAAATATGGCTTCTGATGCTACATACAGGGTTGTCCATGGCTCGACAGGAAGGCCAGGCAAGGCCTGGGGAAATGTGACCAGGAGGTAGCCCCAGAAGCTGCCCAAATGCGCAGAAAGCACCAGGTGTGCAGTAGCTCCCAACAGGAGGACAACATGAGCCACCAACAGAGGCCGGCTGCTCACACTGCCGTCTCCTCTGGGGACAATGTCCCCTGTGCACAGTTCACAGTGCTGCACCCTGCAGGAGAACACCTGGGAATGTCCTCTCTAAATAAACTCTCCCTGAAGGGGTCTAGAGACGCCCAGTTTCCCGTGAGAAATCTACACCGTCAACACAGACCATCAAAACACCCGTGAGGTTCTTCATTTAATGGAACTTGACAAGCTGATTCTAAAGTGAGTGCAGAAGAGAAATGCACAAGATTAGAAAAAAAGCTTTAATAAAGAATAATGAATAGAGACTTGCACCACCGATATTAAACACTATAAATGTATGGTGATTACAGGCTGGCACCAGCGAGGGTGAGACAAACAAGTCAACAGAAGAGAAGGCCCAGAAACAGACACACATACATAACTGTAACGAGGGTGGCATTTTAAATCAGCACAGGAAGAGCAAACAATTCAATGAGTGATGCCAGTAAGTCGAGCTGGTGGGATACTGCCATCTCTGACTCACCCCAGAGCACAGTGGGTTAGAGACCAACTGAAAAAACAAAGGTTTTTACTTATTTTGGTGTAAGAAAAACATTCTTAAACAAGTTAAAAAAAAATAAAAGTCTTAAAGAAAAAGACCAACAGATACGATAAGATAAAAATTATATAATCCTGATAAAAACACATACCAATGACTGGCAATTACAGAAGAAAATGGACACAGAAGTGAGAGAATTTATATCTGGGAAGGTGTGCACAGACGCTGCTGCTGCAGATCAACAAAGCCAAAACAACAGCAAAGGCCAAACCCTCAGGCAAAGACCCAACAGGCAGCAAGCACAAGAAACAGACCACCACCACCAGCAGTGTCGTGCTGCTGGGCGACCACGGAAGTGCAAACTACAGTTACAGTCTGTTAGTCCGTCCTATTCTACGTGTTCTCACACAGTAAGCCAGAAAGAAAAGGACAAATGATACTGCACGGTGAAAAACATCTGCTGAAGCTTTTCTGGAAGCCAGTTTTGCAGCGCTGATAAAAGTTTTAAGTGGACTTTGATTTGACCACTTCTGTGCTCCGCCTGGCAGAAGCACTAGTGTACACACACATACTTCCTCCTACAGGGATGATGGCGTCTGTACCTGATGCCACTGTGACAGACACTGCTATCTGGTGTCTGTTTTCTCCCTCTGCTTTACCAAGAATCTTAGTTGAACACGTTGTTCAAATTCCTTTTCAGCTAAATCCATCCAAGTGACCAAATTTTCAGCAATGGCACATGACCAAAAGTGAAATGCCCACATTATACACCCTCAAAACCCCCACTCTGCTGGGATGTGGACGTGGGAAACCAATACTGACCTTGAAAAGGACCACAGCTAAGGGCCAGGAGAGCTGGGAGTGGAGGGAACCTGGCCCCAAACAGTCTACAGGGGCTGTAACAGGGAAACACATCAAATTCTACTTTACATCTCAAAGAGAATMCCCTAATAGAGTGGCTGAACCTGGAGCCCATCCTGGATCCCAGCATATCCAATACAAGGAACCAACAGGTCCTCAGGGAGTGGGGCACCTGCAGTCTCAGCTACTGGGAGTCAGAGGGAGGAGGACCCTGTGGACAGGAGCTTGAGGGCAGCCTGAGAGGTATAGAGACTTTGTTTCAAATAAAAAAAGGAATCAACAGGCAAAGTAGGCTCCATACATCCATATGGGAAATACTATGCCACATTATAGACTGAGGTTATTTTCATAAGCACTCACATGGAAAGACATCAGGGGCTTATTTAAAATGTAAGTCTTAGAACATCATAGATTGTCACATGGCTCATGCTGTATAAAGGATAAGAGGAGCCATGAATGTAAAGCACCAAGCTGCCACCGCCTGAGCCCACTTCACGCGGTGGAATGCAGCAAGGGGTCACAGATGGGCTACAAGAGAGAACACTAAACCAACACGGGCCGTTCCTGGGGGAGGTCAAGCCTCCCTTCTTACCTCTGTGATGCCRGAGCTCCAAGGCTCAGAGGGAGGGCAGGGCAGCCCCTGCTCTCAGCAACAGCCCTCTCGCCCTCCCCTCTTAGGGCCCAAGGCAAATGGGAGGACATTAGCAAGCGCCACATCAGACAGGCCCTGAACCAGCCTGCAGGACGTGTTAAGGTCTCCCTGGGTTGGGGCCAAGATGCACCCTCTAGTTGGGAGGGCCCCTACACTACAGGAGAAAGATGGCGCCCGCATCCTGGAGAGGGCACATTTGTCTCTGCTGAAAACTGCACTGTTCATGCACCTCCCACGAAGTTTCAGGACCAGGAAGATTTTGAACACAGCTCACCCTCCGGGTCCTGACCCTGCTGGCAGCAGTGCCACCCCTGCAACTGTAGTGATGTGAGAGAGGCTGTCATCATCACTGCCTTCCAGGTGAAAGTGCACAGGTCCCACCGGTAGGAAAGAATGAAACAAGTCTACTTTTTAACTTTGCCAAAATCTAGGCACAAAGTTGATCAAGGCAACTCATTAATGAAATACTGATACATTAGGCAAACCAYTCATGACTGTCTTTTCATCCTCCGTAATCCACTGGCAGCTGAGTATGGGCTCCAGGTGGATCCCACTGCCCAGTGGCACCTGGGCTGCAGCCACCGACCTTCCACTTGGGCCTTGGCCTCATGACTTGACACGTGAGGGACTTCTGTCACATCCCACCACCAGAATGCCCCACAGAGGGCTAAACAGATGCCTGCATGGTGTGTGGTAGCCCAGAAGGAAAAGCTGTGGCCACTTCCTGGACAGCATCTCTTCTCTGCGGCACTGTGGAGGGCCACATAACTCTGTAGGGTGTGGCTGTGTGCTGCACCTGATCCAGCGGCAACCCTCGGCTTTACACACCTCAAGCCAGAGCCAGCTACTCCCTGCCCAGTATGATAATCAAAAAGGTCTCCAGATGGTGCCGAATGTCTCCTGAGGAGAAATTCTGCCTGGATGGGAACTGGTACCCAGGAAGAGAAACAATTTCATTTAATACTTGAGCTGCATATGTTAAGTTTAGAAAGATTGCCTCACTTTGGAAGTTGATACCCCTCAGGGAGTATGAAATCAACTCCATTAAATTGCAGTAAGGAAAATGACCTTTGAGAGCTACTGCTTATTAGAACAGGAGCCTGTGGGCCTCACTTCCCACCTCGGGATGGTCCTGGGTAGTCTGTCAAGCTCCAGGCTAGAGTTATGGCCTTACAAACCAGCAAAGGGCAGTGGCGAGTTAAAGCCACAGCTCTGCAGGAAGAGCCTGTAGAGGCAGGCRTGAGCAGAGGAAACACAGCTGCAGCCAACTGTCTCTCTGTCCGTGGACTCTTCCCGTGGCACTGAACTGTCCCATGCAGACAAGCCTAAGCATACAAAGCCCTGTGCACGTTGAAGGCCTGCTTCTACCCCCACCCCAACCCCCAAAAAAACTGAAAGTGCAGAGAATTTCTAATCAAAGCTTCTTTCCTTTCTCTTGAAAAACATATTAAGGCCATTTTTTTTTTTTATTTCAAACAAAGAAACAAAAATGGGTTTTAGATAATTTATTCATAAAAATCCACTTTATCTGTCAGGTTATATTAAACATCAGAAGAAAAAAAAGCCCACTTGCTTCATCAGACAGCCACTGCAGACCCTGCCAACCACAAACATAGCCGTTCCACAAAGGCCCAGCCAGTACCACCTCCCTCATAGGCAGACGCCTCCCGACAGCGGCTGGGCCAGCTGCTTCTGTGAGCCCGGAGCCTCATGTACTGCCACAGCCTATGGGTTTGTGGTGAAGGGAGACGCTGGGTTCTGGCTCAGAGATGCAATGTGAGAGTTCCCTTCCTTTAAAGTACAGAGTAGAAGACAAAAGGTAAGCTGCCTCATATGCCTGGCTTTTGCAAAAAGATGGTCATAAGAGGAAGGCACAGCCTGTCACCAACAAGGCACCCTGAAGGAAGGGCCAGGCAGAACATTAAGAGGACAAGGTATGAGAAGGTGGCAGTGAAGTCTGTRGCTTGTGGGTGAACAGG